GTAGAAGATGCCCCAAGTGCTTGGGCCCCTGCACCCACATGAGAGACCCTAAAGAAGCTCCTAGCTCCTGGCTTCTGATTAGCCCATCTCCAACCATTGCGGCCAATTGAGGAGTGAACCAGGAGATGAAAGACCTCTCTCCCACTCTCTCTGCCTCTCCTTCTCTCTCTGTGTAATTCTGGCTTTCAAATATATAAATAAATCTTTAAGAGAGAGAGAGCGAGAGAGAGAGCGCTTTGTGGCACAGCAGGGTGAAGCCTCCCTTGGATGCCTGTTGGGGGTGCTCCTTTGACTCTTGGCTGCTCCTCTTCAGATTCAGTTTCCTGTTAATGAATCCTAGGAAGAGCATTTGATGGCTCAAGTGCTTGGGCTCCTGTCACCTGCTTGGATTATCTGGGTGGAGTTCAGGTTTCTAGTTTAGGACTAGCCCAGACCTGGCTGTTGCAGGAATTTGGGAAAAAGATGAGCAGATGGAAAATCTCTCTTTCCGTCTTTCTCCATTATTCTGCCTTTCAAGTACATGACAAGAGAAAAATAAACATTAAAAAAGTTAAACCAAAAACTTAAAAACAGGAGTATTGTACATAAGTTATACCTAAAGACAATTGATGTAACACTTAAAGATATGGATAGCCCAAAAACAAAACAAATAAAGGCCAGCGCTATGGCTCAATAGGCTAATCCTCCGCCTTGCGGCGTCAGCACCCCAGGTTCTAGTCCCGGTCGGGGCGCCAGATTCTGTCCCGGTTGCCCCTCTTCTGGGCCAGCTCTCTGCTGTGGCCAGGGAGTGCAGTGGAGGATGGCCCAAGTGCTTGGGCCCTGCACGTCATGGGAGACCAGGATAAGTACCTGGCTCCTGCCATCGGATCAGCACGGTGCGCCAGCCAAAGCGCGCCAGCCGCGGCGGCCATTGGAGGGTGAACCAACGGCAAAGGAAGACCTTTCTCTCTGTCTCTCTCTCTCACTGTCCACTCTGCCTGTCAGGAAAAAAACAAACAAACAAACAAACAAAAAAACACAAAGATATGGATAAATGTGATGTCTTAGAGGGATCTTTTTAGAAGATTAAAAATATAGATTTTAATGAATTTACTTATTAATTTGAAAGGCAGAGAGAAAGAGAGGGAGAAGGAGATCTACTGGTTTACTCCCCAAATGGCTGCAAAAGCCCAAGACTGAATGAGGCCAAACTTAGGAGCCAGGGGACTCCATCGGGGTCTCCACATGGGTGGCAGGGAATCAATACTTGGACCATCATCTACTGCTTTTCCCAGGCACATTAGCAGCGAACTGGATCAGAAGCAGAGTAGCTGGGACTCAAACTGGGACATGGGTATGGGATAGTGCTGTCTGAAACAGCAGCTTAACCCGTTGTGCCACAGCCAACCTCAGGTAAACATATTTTAAAATAGAGGCTGACATTGTGGCTCAGTGGGTTGAGCTGAAGCCTGCAACACTGAAATCTCATATGGGCGCCCATTCTGGTCCTGGCTGCTCCACTTCTGATCCCTGCTAATGCACCTGGGAAAGCAATGGAGGATGGCCCAACACTTAGGCCTCTGCACCCACGTGGAATACTCAGATGAAACTCCTGGTTCCAGGCTTTGCCCTAGACAATGTAGTCATTTGGGGAGTAAACAGGCAAATGGAAGATCTCTCTTCTCCTTTTCTCTCCTCTCCTCGCCTTTCTCCCGCTCTCTCACTCTCCCTCCCTCCCTTCTTCCTTCCTTTTCTCCCTCTCTCCTTCTGTAACTCTGCCTTTCAAATAAATAAAATACATATTAAAAAAAAATTAGAGGTCGGCACTGTGGCATAGAAGGTTAAGCCTCCACCTGCAGTGCCAGCTTCCCATAAGGGAATTGGTTCAAGTCCCAGCTGCTCCAATCCAGCTCCCTGCTAATGTGCCTGGGAAAGGCAGTAGATGATGGTCCAAGTACCTGGGCTCCTGCTCCCACGTGGCAGACTCAGAAGAAGCTCCTAGCTCCTGGTTTTGGTTTGGCCCAGCACTGGCCATTGCAGCCATTTGTACAATGAATCAGTGGATGGAAGATCTTTCTCTCTCTCGCTCTCCTTCTCTCTCTGTATCTCTGCCTTTCAAATGAATAAATAAATAAATATTTTAAAGATTTTTAAATAAAAATTCCTGGAGTTACACAGTTTATACATGTGTTAAAATATCACATTATACTCCTAAATTTGTATAATTCTCTGTCAGTCAAAACTAACATAAAATGAACATTTAAAAAAATCTGAATGGGCCGGTGCTGTGGCTCACCAGGCTAATCCTCCGCCTGCGGCGCCAGCACCCTGGGTTTTAGTCCGGTTGGGACACTGGTTCTGTCCCGGTTGCTCCTCTTCCAGTCCAGCTCTGTGCTGTGGCCCGAGAGTGCAGTGGAGGATGGCCCAAGTGCTTGGGCCCTGCACCCCATGGGAGACCAGGAGAAGCACCTGGCTCCTGGCTTCGGATCTGCGCAGCGCGCCGTGACGGCCATTTGGGGGGTGAACCAACAGAAGGAAGAATTTTCTCTATTTTCTTTCTCTCTCTCTCTCTCTCTCACTGTCTAACTCTGCCTGTCAAAAAAAAAGTCTAAATGAATGAGGGGGCCGGCTCTGTGGTGCAGTAGGTTAATCCTCTGCCTGCGGCACCAGCATCCCATATAGGCGCCAGTTCTAGTCCCGGCTGCCCCTCTTCCAGTCCAGCTCTCTGCTGTGGCCCGGAAAGGTAGTGGAGGATGGCCCAAGTGCTTGGGCCCTGCACCTGCATGGGAGACCAAGAGAAGCAACTGGCTCCTGGCTTTGGATCGGCGCAGCATGCCGGCCGTGGCGGCCACTTTGGGGGGTGAACCAACGGAAGGAAGACCTTTCTCTCTCTCTCTCCCTCTCACTGTCTATAACTCTACCTCTCAAATAAATAAATAAATGAAATACTTTTTTAAAAAGTCTAAATGAATGAGGACTTCTTTGTGAAGTAGCAGTCTGACTTTGTGATCAAGTGATGTAATATAGGAATTGTAGAAAAGGGAAGAATTGAGGCCGGCGCCGTGGCTCAATAGGCTAATCCTCCACCTTGCGGCACCGGCACACCGGGTTCTAGTCCCGGTCAGGGCGCTGGATTCTGTCCCGGTTGCCCCTCTTCCAGGCCAGCTCTCTGCTATGGCCAGGGAGTGCAGTGGAGGATGGCCCAGGTGCTTGGGCCCTGCACCCCATGGGAGACCAGGAAAAGCACCTGGCTCCTGGCTCCTGCCATCGGATCAGCGCGGTGCGCCGGCTGCAGCGGCGGCCATTGGAGGGTGAACCAACGGCAAAGGAAGACCTTTCTCTCTCTGTCTCTCTCTCTCACTGTCCACTCTGCCTGTCAAAAAAAAAAAAAAAAAAAAAAAAAAAAAAAAAGGGAAGAATTGTTGGATACTCATCTGTTAAAGAGGTACTTCAGTGGCTCCTTGATTTGCATATTTAATGTTCCTAAGGTTACGGCTTTTCCTCCTTTTGGCAGTATAGCAAATTTGTGCCTTATTGTCACATTAAAATTGTAGTCCTCAATCTATCACTAAATAGTTGTGGTTAAAAAAAATTCCTGGCAGGTGGGAAGGGGCTCTGAGTTCCTGCTCTCTTCCGGGAGCCTGGGACTCAGAGGCACCCTGCATATATCCCCAAAGCTCGCTGTACTTCCTGGCATCACTGATTTATTCATTAGATGTATGCATTTATTTGAAAGGAGCAGGAGAGACAGATCTGGTCAAGGGAGAGGGAGAGACAGATCTTCCATCCTAGCTGGTTCACTCTGCAAATGGCTACAGTGCCTGGGACTGGGCAGAGCAGAGGCTGAGAGTCTAGAACCCCAATCCAGGTCTCCCACAGGAATGGCAGGACCCAAACACTTGGGCCATCTGCCTCTGCCTTCCCAGGTGCTCCAGCAGGGAGTTCAGCATCATTTAATGGTTCCACACAAACATGAAGTTCACATGTGTGTGTCTGTCGCCCTTGGTGAACTCTGACCTCTCCAGGGCCAGGCTCTGTGTGTGGTTTCATCCCTGTGTGGTCCCCGGCTCCTGTGAAGAAATGGGCCCACGGGAGGCACTCACTGTGTGAGTGAACGCATAAAGGAAATAAGGACTAGGAGGCACGGGTGCAGGGTTTTGTTCAAACCCACCCAGCAGGGACTTTTAGGGAATGGTAGTGGGGAAAGCTTGATGGGGAAGGCCAGCCAGTCTCCCAAAGATTCCTCCAGCCCAGGTTTCATAGGCACTCCCCTCTCTCAAGGCTCTTGGGCTTACGCGTCAGGTCCTAGTTTCCAGGATCAAACCTCCATCTGGTCCTCTGTCCAGTGGGGACCAAGGTGACAGTCCCCTGGGGCTGAGAGGTCCCTGAGCAGAGAGGATGGGCTTCCTGGATGACAGTGACCGTCTGTCTCACCCTGGACTCCCACCCTGCCCTTGCCCTTCTTTTATTTTTAATCTGTATTTATTTGAAAGGCAGGCCGAGAGGGAAAGATCTGCTGTTGATTCCCCAAATGCACACAACAGCCAGGGCTGGGCCAGGCCAAAGCCAGGAGCCTGGATCTTCATCCTGGTCTCACACGTGGGCGCAGGGGCCAGTGCTTTCTGCCTCCCAGGGTGTGGATCAGCAGGAAAACCCAGGCACTCAGATATGGGATGAGGGCATCTCTAGAAGTGTCCTAGCAACCAAGCCAAAGGCCAGTCTCCCGTGCCCTGCCCTTCTGTGAGCAACCTTTGGTGAGTCCATTGCCCTCCACAGCAAAGGTTCTCAAAGCATGGTTCCGGGAACAGAACGTCCCGCAAATTCTGAGGCTCCATAACCGGGGCCCAACAACGGCACTGCAGTAAGCCTAAGCCGGCGCGGCCAGATGCTACAGATGCGGCCTGGGGTCCCGACCCGCTGTTCCTCGCTGATGCATGCTCTGGGAGTGTCGCTCCCGCTCCCGCCTGCGCCTGGACGGGGCGGACGGGCAGCGAACCGTGACCAAAGGCTAACAGCAGTGGCACTAGCAGCTAGCCATCGCCAGCCGACCTCCTGTGTGCCCGACGCCGCCGGAGGAACTCACCCCAGCGGGCACCCCAGCTGTCACTTTACAGACACGGAAACTGAGCTTCCGTGAGGCCACGCCTGTACCCAGGGGTCACCCCGCGGGACTGGCAGGGGCCTCCTCTGTTGGGCCGTACCGCTCCTCGGAGCCAAGGGCCGAGCGCAGCTTGAGGCGCCTGTTCCCGGCCGCTACTGCGCCCCGGCCCCAGCCCGGGACGGCGGGGGAGGAGCGCGGCGGCCGCCGCCGTGGCGAAAGTGCGGCTGCGGACGCGCGGCAAGGCCGGCGGCGGCGGCGGCGGCGAGGGACTAGGCTGAGGAGCTCGGCGGCCGCTGCGGGGCAGGGGCCAGGAGGGCGCCATGGGCCGCCTGCACTGCACTCAGGACCCGGTGCCCGAGGCCGTGGGCGGCGACATGCAGCAGCTGAACCAGCTCGGCGCTCAGGTGGGCCGCGCGGCCCGGCCGGCCGGGTCGGTGGGCGCCGCGGGGAGGGGCGGCGTCAGGCCGCGCGCTCCCGGGTCAGGGGTTTGGAGGGGGTGGGCAGCAGTGCAGGGGTGCCGGCGTGCGTTTGCGGGGTGTGCAGTGGGCCGGGGTCCGCGGAGTTGGGGTCTGAGGAGAATTTACGGAACCGGAAGGCCTCGTTCCATCTGAGGGGGCCAGGGGCGTCGTGGGGTACGCAGAGATGGGACGAGGGGCCTTCGGGGGGTCCTAGGGGCTGCGGGGAGTCTTCGACGGAAGGCGCGGGAGCCGGAGCGGGGCTGGGCAGCGGGGGCGCTGGCCGAGGCGTTTGGGAGCGAGCCCGGGAGCGCGCAGCACCGGGGAAAGCTGGTGTTCGAGGTGGGGGGGGTCCTCAGAGGCCTGCAGGGCAGGGTCTGGGGCTCGGCCGGCCGCGGGTGACCGCCCGGCTCCCAGCCAGGGCGTGCCCGGAAGTGCCCATGGAGAGGACCCCGGCCGCGCGCCAGGAGGTGGCCGTGGGGGGCCGACCGGGTCCGCCCAGCAGGCCGCCCACCCCTGGGCTGGTGCAAATGCTGAGGTCATTCCCCAAGGCCACACAAAGAAATAGGTTAAAATGACTTAGCCCAGCTCCATCGGGAACATGCCTCAGCCTCTTTCATCTTTCATCCCCCCCATGTAGGTCTATTTATTGAATAAAAACCAAACTTCCTGTTTCTTGATAGAGTAATGATAAGATGACATCAGGCATTTTCTTTTATTTTAAGATTTATTTATTTGAGGGCCCAGTGCTGTGGCGTGGCGGGTAAACCCACTCTGTGCCGCTGGCGTCCCATAATGCTTGCATGGCTGCTACCCACATGGGAAACCCGGAAGGAACTCCTGCTGGCTTTGATCTGGCCAGGAATGGGCAGTAGTGGAGTGAACCAGCAGATAGAAGATTCTCTCTGTAACTCTGCCTTCTAAATAAATAAGTCAGTCTTAGGGAGAAAAAAAAAGAAAGAAACATGGCTCACAATTTATTTCTGTTGGACAAGGCAGGCTTATCACATGCCTGGCTGGGTGGGTGTTGTGGCACAGTGGGTTGAGCTGTGTGGGATGCCTTCATCCCATATCTCATATTGCCTGGGTTCTTGCAATTCAGCTCCCTGCTAATGTACGTGGTAGCCCAGGGTTCCTGAACACCATCGTGGAAGACCAAGGAGTTCTTGGCTCCTGGCTTCAGTCTGAGCTAGCCCTGGCTGTTGCAGGCATTTGGGGAATAAACCTCTGTGTCGCTCTGCCTTTCAAATAAATAATATAATATAATATATAATATAATATAATATAATATATATATAATATATATATATAATAATTATATATATATATAATTATATAAATTATATATTTATATATATATATAATTATATATATATAATTATATAAATTATATATATAATTATATAAATAATTATATATATATAATATAATATAATATATATAATATAATAATATAATATAATAATAATATAATATTTATTATTTATTTGAAAGACAGGGAGGGAGGGAGGGAGGGAGACAGAGATCTTCCATCCTCTGGTTTACTCCCAAAATGGTGGCAATGGCCAGTCCCAAGCCAGGAGCCAGGAGGTTCATCCGGGTCTTCCACATGAGTGGCAGGGGCCCAAGGACTTGGACCACCTTCTGTTGCTTTCCCAGGCACATTAGCAGGGAGCTGGATCAGAAGTGGAGCAGCAGGGATTCAATCTGGCACTCAGATGGGATGCTGGCATTGCAGGCAGCAGCTCAACCCGCTGAGTCACAATGCCAGTCTGTATTTACTTATTTGGAAAGCAAAGTGACAGAGGAGAAGAAGAGTGAGATCTTTCATCTGTTGATTCACTCCCCAAACAGCCCAACAGCCAAGTCTGGGCCAGGCTGAAGCCAGGGACCAGGAACTGCATCTGGGTCTCCCATGTGAGTGGCAGGGGCCCAAGTTCTTGGGCCATCTTCTGCTTTCCCAGGCACGTTAGCAGGCAGCTGGATTGGGAGCAGAGCAGCTGAGACTTCAACTGGCACTGAACTGAGGCAGAAGCCAGCAGCTCAGGCAGCTGCTTAACATACTGTGCTACAATCTACAATATTGGCTGAGGTATTTCAGTTTTTCCTACTAAATTTTCTAAATTTGTTATATACTTTATACTAAGAGCGCATCCCAACTAGCCCTTGTCTCATGCTCACGTGGCTGGTAGCTACTGGACTGGACGATGCAGTTGTAGGTCTTTATTATTCCCATCTTACAGGTGAGAAAAATGGTTCAGGGAAATAAAGTGACCGGGCAGCCAGGAAGTGAAGGAGCCAGGAGTCCAGGATATCTGCCTTCAGACTAAGGAGGTAGCTCAGCTTCTACGTGGCGCCAGTGTTCTCTGGAAGATTTCTGTGTGGAGAATCAAAGATTCTGTTGCTAAAAAACTCAGACGTTGGGGCCAGCACTGTGGCATAGTGGCTAAGCCTCCACCTGTGGTGCCAGCATCCCATATGGGCGCTGGTTCTAGTCCTGGCTGCTCCTCTTCAGATCCAGCTCTCTGTTTATGGCCTGGGAAAGCAGTAGAAGATGGCCCAAGTGCTTGGGCCCCTGCACCCACGTGGGAGAAGTGGAAGAAGCTCCTGGCTCCTGGCTTCAGATAGGCCCAGCTCTGGCTATTGTGGCCCTTTGGGGAATGAACCATGGATGAAAGACCTCTCTCTGTCTTTCCCTCTCTCTGTCTGTAACTCTCTCTCTCAAATAAGTAAAAATCTTAAAAAAAAAAAAAAAAAGAAAGAAAAGAAACTTGAGATGTTTGTAAAGCTCCTGGATTGTGTGGGTGTGGGTGTGGGTGTGGGTGTGTGTGTTATCCCCCCGGGCTACCTCCAACTTGATAGTAGTGGAGAATCTGAGTCACTTCCTTCGCATCTGGGCTGGACTCAGCTTCTAATCTCAAAACACACAAAACCTTTGCTTTGTTAAGTGCAGAGTGCTGTTTTTACATTTTTAAATGGACATCATGTAGTTATTTTGAAATGCATAATTAATTTTTAGAGACTATAGTTACACTACTGAGTACAGTAAGGAACTTAGCAGAGTCACTTGGGCTGTTTCCCCTCCTTCGCTGGATGAACAGACTTCTCCACGTGCCACTCTATCAGTCACATTTACTTTGAAGTCTGAGGCACAGGTCTCAAGGAGTAAAAGCATGGTATTAACTTGGCATCAAGTTATTTATTTATTTATTTATTTGACAGAGTGGACAGTGAGAGAGAGAGACAGGGAGAAAGGTCTTCCTTTGCCGTTGGTTCACCCTCCAATGGCCGCCGCAGCCGGCGCGCCGCGCTGATCTGATGGCAGGAGCCAGATCAGCTCCTGGTCTCCCATAGGGTGCAGGGCCCAAGTACTTGGGCCATTCTCTACTGCACTCCCTGGCCACAGCAGGGAGCTGGCCTGGAAGAGGGGCAACCGGGACTAGAACCCTGTGTGCCGGCGCCGCAAGGTAGAGGATTAGCCTAGTGAGCTGCGGCGCTGGCCCTGGCATCAAGTTATATACCACTGCTGATTCAGTGGGTATCTACCTGAATGCTTGCTATCTACTGGAGAGCTCCTACTCCCAGTGAGTTTTAGGAAAAATTGATAGACACAGTCACTTGTCCTGGCAAAGCTGTGATCTCCTAGGGCAGGTCACAAAGTGAAGAAGCAGGGACCGACGTGGTACAGTGGGTGAAGCCGCCGCTGCCTGGGATGCTGGCGTCCTGTGTGAGCTCCGGCTCCAGTCTTGGCTGCGCCACTTCCTATCCAATTTCCTGCTGATGGGCCTGGGAAAGCAGCAAAAGATGGCCCAGGTGCTTTGGTCCTCCCACTTACATGGGAGACCCGGGAGAAGCCCCTGGCACCTGGCTTTGGCCTGACCCAGCTCCAGCTATTACATCCATTTGGGGAATGAACCAACAGATGGAAGATCTCTCCCTCTGTCTTTGTAACTCTTTCAGATAAATAAATAAATCTTTAAAAATCAAAAAGGAAGACGGAGAAGCACTGTAGTACCAGAGTGAGTGGTGTGCCGTCTGACACCTGGTAGCGTGGAGCCTTGCACGTAGGTAGGAATTTAAAATAACCAGTTTTTAGGATGGTTATGAGAGCGTACATTCAGAAAAATATGAAGACACATGGTCCACGATCCTCTGTCTTTACTAGAAACAAGAGCGGGGCCGGTGCTGTGGCACAGCGGGTTAAAGCCCTGGCCTGAAGCGCCAGCATCCCATATGGGCGCCAGCTCTCTGCTATGGCCTGGGAAGGCAGTAGAAGATGGCCCAAGTGCTTTGGCCCTGCACCCACATGGGAGCCCCAGAAGAAGCTCCTGACTTCCGATCAGCTCAGCTCCTACCACTGCGGCCATCTGGGGAGTGAAACAGTGGATGGAAGAACCCTCTCTCTGTCTCTACCTCTCTCTGTAACTCTGTCTTTCAAATAAATAAATCTTTAAAAAAAAAAAAAAAGGAAACAAGAGCAACACACCAGTTGGGAAAGTCTGACAGTATATGAAAGTATAGAAGTAAGATGTGCCGGCGCCGCGGCTCACTAGGCTAATCCTCCGCCTAGCGGCGCCGGCACACCGGGTTCTAGTCCCGGTTGGGGCGCCGGATTCTGTCCCGGTTGCCCCTCTTCCAGGCCAGCTCTCTGCTGTGGCCCGGGAGTGCAGTGGAGGATGGCCCAGGTGCTTGGGCCCTGCACCCCATGGGAGACCAGGAAAAGCACCAGGCTCCTGGCTCCTGCCATCGGATCAGCGCGGTGCGCCGCCGCAGCGCCCCGCCCGCGTGCCCATTGGAGGGTGAACCAACGGCAAAGGAAGACCTTTTCTCTCTGTCTCTCTCTCTCACGGTCCACTCTGGCCTGTGAAAATTAAAAGAGAAAAAAAAAAAAGAAGAGTGAGATGTGCATTTCCCTTACGCTCAGAAATGGTCATTGTAATAGTTTCCTT